AGCCATTAATGTCTAGTCATGATGACTGCAGGCTTAGGCTTTTGAGGGTGCAGGGGCTCATTAATGGCAGTCACTGTCACTCCCATCGTCATAAATGAGTAGTCAAATCGTATTAAATGTGTGTCTGCTTGTGTACTCGAATCCTCCAAGCCGTCATCTCTCGGCTCCACTCCTCGGTGTCCTTTAGGCTCCATAACAGCTACAATTTTACACGTGTCGATCTGGGGGCTACTGAGCCACCTAGAGTCTCGCCAATAATGTTTTGAAATTTGATATTTTTTGCGTATCCAGATCCTCCCTGCATAGAAAATGAGATAAAAGTGAACATTTAATTGATCAATGATGAAATATAGAAATGTGAACTATGGGACTTTCTTGTCATTTCACAAATACAAGGGGTTTGATGTGTTATTTCATCCAAATTCAACGTTGTTAGTGAGTACGATATTAGGACAAATTATACTTTGAGCCCGTCAACTATACTTTTATTTCATATTATCCCCTCAACTAATGACAGATAAAAACCTTCTGTCCGAAACATGAGACAAATCCCTGTAATTAAGGGACCAATGTGGAAAAAACTCGATAGACAAGGGGATAAAAAGAGATTAGGAGTATAGTTTAGACTAAGACTCACAACCATAATATGCTTTATTACCAAACACCAAAGCGAAACAAAAGACTTTCCTATTTGTTTGATGGCAAACTTCAACTAAAAAAAAAATTGCTTTGTTTTGAAATTACTCTACCATGATCTATTCTTGAAGAAACACAAGTAGGGTTGTTGGTGGATCGGGCAGGGCTGACCTCGGGCCAAGACCCATCACATGGAAGGGAAATTCTAGATTGATTTGACATGGCACGAGCCAGACAGTATCTCTCTTCAAAAATGTATAGTGACATTAGAACTTAAATATGTATAGCAAATAAGTCGGCTAACTTAGAAAATTATAGTTTAAAATATGTCAAATTGTAAAAAGAATAAAAAAAATTTGACAGGTTGGTTGCACACTAGCTCAAGTTCTTTAGTCGATAACTGGACTCATACATGAACTAGACAGGTGGGCAAAACGAAAATCTAGGTGATTTGTGACCCTTTCATAGATGGGCATCGGGCTGCCAGGGGCTAGCCAAGCCTATGGACAGCGCTATTCCCAATCTTATTTTGAATGGTAATGGTAATGCTCTTAGTATTATATAGTATAAATTAGTGTATTTGCATACGTATACACACACATACATACATCTAAGTAAAATTATCAAACTAAACCAAATCAAGTCCTATGTCTCAATCATTTAAGGTTAGCTATTAAGTCTGTCTTCGTCATTCATTTCGATCATGCCATATACATCCATTTAAGTTAAATATTTTTATATTTTTTCTTATTATTTCTTTTCAATGTTAACTTTGGTATATCTCTACTTCTAGTACCATTAATAGAAATTTTATCATTTTTTCAAACTGGGGTTTCTATCGGCCTCCGTTGAATATAACCAAACCATCTTAATCTATTCTCTTTTAACTTATCCACAATTAGAGTTACTCGTACCGTTTCTCTAATACAGTCATTTCTTATCCTATCTTTTTTAATTTTTTCACACATCCACCTGAGTATTCTCATCTCCGCTAAGCTCATTTTGTCACTATGTTGTTTCCTAATTGCCCAACATTCTGTCTCATACAATATTGTGTCCTTATAACTATTCGGTAAAGCTTACCTTTTAATTTTATTGGTATACTTCTATCACATAATATGCCAGAATCTTTTATCTACTTAAGCCAACCAACGTCAATTCTATGAGTTACATCATCTCCAATCTCTCCATCATTTTTAATTATCGATCCTAGATATCTAAATCGTTTACTCATTGGTATTTTTTGATTTTTAATCTTAACTTTTTTATTATGTCTACTTTTTGTATAAAATTTTATTGCATATATTCAATCTTACTCCTACTTATTTTAAACCCTTTCGACTCAAATGTGTTTCTCTAAATTTTTAGCTTATTGTTCCCCCTTCGAGTTTTATCTACTAATACAATATCATCTGCAAATAGCATATACCATGGGATGTCACCTTGAATGTGCCTAGTGAATTCATTCATAATTAGGGCGAATAGGTATGAACTTAAGGCCGATCCTTAGTGTAATCTCATCGTGATTGAAAATTCTTTACTTTCTCTCACGAAAGACCTAATTGTAGTCATACATGTCTTTTATCACTTCAATATACCTATTCGTCACTCATTTTCTCTTAAGCACCATCCATATTACATTCATTGATTCACTGAAACATGTGAAGTTATATTCACTGATTCATACACAATCTAAATAGTACATATCATATAATGTGACATAACAAATGTCACATCCATATATATTTCTTTTAATGAATTATAGTGTTACATTATAATGTACCATTACAAAGTGACACTATTTTTAGATTTGAGAACAAACAGAACTATTTAACATTAAAAAAAAAATAATAATAAATTTTAAAATCTGGGTCAAGCCATTAAAGTATATTCCATGTGGTATAATTTTGAATATTAAATATGTCTAATCCCCTAATATATAAAACTATTAATATAATAAATTAAATCCCATAAAAAATGAGACTACCAAATTAACACTACAAGAAAAAAGGATTTTTACGGCGGTAAAGTGCTGTCATAAAAGGTCTATTTGTCATCACAAATATTTTTTGTGACGGCAATGTGGCAGTATTGCCTCGCCATAATAAGTGCGGTCTCAAAAGGTTTTTGCGGTAGCAATGGTCTATCTCAAATAGTATTTTCGACAGCAAGACCCTGCCGTTAATAAGTTGTCACAAAAAATCTGACACTTTTGTTTTTATCACGACGGCAAAAATGCTGCCTCAAATACCATATTTGGAAGTCATAAAAAATAGAAGATATATTTATAATAGTAACGATGCCGCCACAAAAAAATGTAATCATTATAGATCATTGGTAACCAATGTTATATACCTTGTACATATATACACTCCGTACAACTTTTTTATTTGGGAGTGAGAGGGGGAGGTGGGAACGTATTTCAAGTCAAAGGTACTTATTAACAAAAGATTTTAGAAAACGTATTTTCTTACAATTAAGTTGTTTAAAAGGTTACTACTCACAATTTTCCGTTAAATTTGTGATTGATCTAACCAATTAACCCAATGACTCATTGACCAATTCTTTTGTCAGGTCAATGCTAGGGCCGAATTACTAACTATGCTTTAAACGGGCAACTATATTGTGAAGATCATTTAAGCCTTATTAGCTATTAGGAATAACCCGTGTCTAAAGTCATGGTAAAATATAAATAATTTTGAAAGAGATTGTTTGTGGCCGGTAGATGAATCTATTTAAGACCGTCAGATAGACTTATTAAAGTCTATCCTATTTTATATTATAGATAACGAAAAAACCTTGAAAGGTCGCATTTTACTCATCAGCCAACATACCAAGTTAATCAAGACTCATATTGCAATGTACCAAATAGCAACAACCATGCCAAGTTAATCAAGACTCATATTGCAATGTACCAAATAGCAACAACCAGAGGAAAATAAAGTTTCTCTATTGAAGAACACACACATATAACCTTAAATTCACCAAAAAAAAAATATATATATATATATATATATATATGTGTGTGTGATAAAATAAATGAGAAATGTTCTGGACGAATGGGTATAAATATCTCTAAATTGTTACGTGACTTACAAACTTATAAAAAAGGGTGGCTCAATCTATGAGACTTTCGCCACTGACTTACAAATTTATATAAAGAAACGAAATCAATAATTCTCGTCGAGCATAAAATCTAAAAAGAGAAAAATAAAAACAAAAGTTTACATGAAATAAAAAAATCTAATTATTCTGCACCAAAAAAATATATTCCTATTTAAATTCTAATTAAAACCCAAAAAACTGTTTCCTAAGAATGTGATGTTCTTTTGCTTTTTTGTCATTGGCAAAGTGGAGAGACCCTCTCTGTGCTTGCTAGTCTGACGTTTTGGCATGAAGCTTTTGCTTTTGTCTCTCCTTCACGGACTGGATTTACATTCTGCAACACAATGCCATTACATGGGAAGGTCGTGCTACAGTCAAGTTTAACAGCCACCTCTGAAGCACTGGTTCCTCTGATGTTCTTGTACACCACATTCGTTACTTGCACAGCT